GCTGCCAGCTCTCCCCACTCTTCCCTCTGACTGTCCTTTCCATGTCACCTGTCCCCTTGCTTCTGCCAGGCAGACCCCTCCTTTTCTTCCATACCCATCACTGCCTCCCTGCTCGGCTGGCCCCTCCATCCCTGCAGCAGTGAGAAGCCTTAATTTCTGGTACTGTGTGAGCACTCTGGGGGTGTTCCCCTCCCCCTTCAGGGGCAGCTAGAGGATGAAGGGGGAGGGTATTTAGCACTGGGGCCTGGAGCTTTTCCCCCACTCTATACCCAATCACCCCTGAAGTTCAAACGCAAAACACTTGAAGCAGCAACTACTGTACCTGGGCCCCGATCCTGCACTCTCCCCTGGCTCCTCGTATGCAAATCAAGGGCTGGTTCTGCCCCCACAGCCTGCCCCCACTCCCCTCCCACTTCTGGCCTGGCCCCCTAACCACGCACTTTAACCTTGCTTTTTTCTTTTAACTTCTTTTGGGAGAGCAGAGCCTGTGGCCATTCCCTCTCTGGCTTGCTTCTCCCTCAATGTTGAGGTTTGTCATGAATTTTTAAGTAAGCATTTTATCCTTTAGGGGAAGAAACAAGTTAATTTCCTGCCCATTTCAAAACCATAGCCCTAGTATGTCCTCTGTGTTTTAGGCATGTGCTGCTTGCATGTGTGTGGAGGGAGGGACCGTGTCCTTCCTCCTGTGCCCCCATCCCAGAGTTCCCTCAGCCCCTTCTCTGCTTCCACTTCCCGTCACATCCGAGACCCATGTCCCACCGCCCCAGTCACTCCTGATCTGAAGCCAAAGATGGTGGAAGGGGCGGGGCAGACTGGGGACCATGGCTGAATTTTGGAAGTGGGCCTCCCTCTGTGTGAGAAGGAAGCTGTGACAGAGAGAGCAACCAGTGGAGACAGGCTTCATCCCCTGCCTTCTCAGCAGGGGAAGAGATGGGATTGAGCTGGGGGCTGCACTGATAAGATTTCTAGAAGTCGCACCCTAGAAGCCAGCCTGGGCCAGAGTGAGAATGGGACAGTTTTCTCTTAATGTAGCATTGGATCTGGCCCTGGTCCCTTCAGGTGCCCTGTCCATCCATGTCCTAGGTGAGCCTCTGTGCATTTGGACCCACTCCTGTAGCCCAGTGTTCCCTTCCTCATACTCAATACCTCAGCCAGGGGCCAAGACACAGAACTTGAATAGAGGTCCTGCCCCCTCCGCCCCCACAGTGCATCCTTGCCCGGTTTGGCTGCCATCAGTATTGTCCCCTGAGAACTGGACAGGCTTCGTTTACACAGTACAAGGGGTCTCCCCTGGGGACCCCTCAGCCTCCTTCCCCCACCCAAGCTTGCTCTATTCAAATCTTACCCATTTTTCAGTTGTGTCCCTCAAATGTCTTGCCACCCTTGCCAAGGGTGGGCTGAGGGGAGAGAGCCCATCCCAGGGATGCCTCCCTCCCCACAGATAACCTTAACCGTACCTCATGCTGATTCCCGAAGCCTGGGGTGTTTGTCCAAGTCCTTGTTTTTTTCATAGTTCCTTTTTATCCCCCATCTCTCGTGTCTCGCTTTCCCCCAATTCTCAGATCCTAAACCATTTCAAGGCTTCCAAATGACCATTATTGGTGAGAAGGATTGTGCAGCTTTTACTTTTTATTTTTGTTTTCAAAGCCAAAGGGCCTTGCAACACCCCTCTTGCCCATCTCCCTTCATTCCTTGTCCTCCCCTATATGACAATCAATGTGACCTCTCTTAAAGGGCTGCAGCCCCCCACCCCAGTATTGCTGGTTCTGCAAAGCTTGCCCCCTAATTTCAGTTCTTTCTCCTAAAATCTTCCCATTCCACCCCCTCTCATTTTGGTGCTGGGAATTAGGTGGTAGGGGGCACAGGGAACAGGGAGATGGGTTCTCTGGGGATGACTCGGGGTATCAGTCGTGTTCTCCTTTATCAATGCTTAGTGATGACAGGAAGAATCTGAGTATTTGTCAAGAGCCCCATTGTTTTGTTTTGCTAGATGAGATTTCTGGTGGCTGTCTGTTCCCTGCTGCCCCTCAGCACATTGTCAGCAGTGCTGGGGAGGTGGGGGGTCCTCTGTCCCTCCTCATGTGGTTGTGAGGAGGTCTGGAGGGTGAGCAGCCTCCTCTCCTTATGCCAAAGGAAATCCCGCACCCCACCCTGGGCTCCCCAGCCCCTAGTGTTTTTTGAAGCATTTTGACCATTCTCATGGCCACTGCATATTTATTTTAATGTTAAGATTTTTTTAAACCTCTTTGACTTAAACGGGTGTGGAGAAGTAAAACAGGCAGAATGCCCCCCAATCTTAAGGGGGTAGGGGAGGGGAGGAAGCACCTCCTTCCCTTCACCTCCCCCTTCCCTCCCCCTCTCCCCACCGCAGCTCTAAAGCACTTGCTTCAAGTAATAAGCACTTTTGTGAAAAGACCTATTTGGAGTGAGGACTCTGGGAGCAGCCCCAGGTCCTAGCAAAGGAGACAGAGCGAGGGCTACATAGGAGACCGACTTGTGAATCAGAGGGCGAGATGAAAAGAGCCAGTTTTTAGTTTCTGATATTTGGGGGGATGTTTCTGATTGGGCGGTGGCTTTGGTACAGTTGTGTACTATAGTTCAGAAAACAAATGGCACAAACTGTGGGTCCCAGGATGGACCAACAGACCCGGGTCACTGCCACTGTCCAGCTGAGACTGATGGGCCACCTCCCCCATCCCGTGGCCCCCTGAGCCATAGGACTGCTGAAAACCACTGAATGTACAGCCCAGGTTGGGGTGGGGAGCGGCCCCTGGGGGAGGGGGCTTCTCCTTTTGTTTGGTGCTGTGGGGGGTGGGAGAGATGAGACTAAGGGACTGCCACCCCATGTAGACGTGTGTTCCTTGGGGTGGAGGGGCTGAGGAGGGCCTGCCTCCCTCTCCAACCCCAGCCATGGCCCCTCTTCCTTCCTCACCCCTATCCGTTTTGACTGTAAGTCCAGCTCACCTTTGCCTTCAATATGTAACCAAAGGAAAACTCAATACTGTTTCCACCGCTGTCTGCCCACCCGAGCATCTTCTTACTCCCTGGACTTAGAAGGGGAGAAGAGGCTGGGGGTGGGGTGGGTGGGGCCAGAACGAACGGTTCTACAACTGTACCCCCAAAACCTTCTCTGTGGTCTTGGAAGGGGTCCTGAGAGGTGGAGTGGGCCCAGGCCGGCAGGGCTGGGAGGAGGCACACTCTGTATCTTACGCACATGGGACATGAGTGTTTCCTTGTCGAAATGACTCCCGTGACTGTGCTTCAGCGGGGAGGCCCCTTCCTCCTTCCCTCTCAGCCATTCATCACCCTCTCCCCACACCCAGTGTTCATTCCCCACCTCCCCTTCCCACCGCAAAGGAAAATAGCCTTACAGACCCTAGCCCTAGCCCAGAAACCCTCCTCCTGGGGCAAACCAGTATGGGCCCCCATCCCACCAAGTTTGAACCCTACCTTTTAAGAGGAGGGATAAAGGAGCAAACCAGCCCCTTCCCCTCTAATTGTGGTGGCTCCAGCCCTCTGTGGCCTTGGCCCAGGCTGGGCAAGGGCAGAGGTGAGGAATCTTTGAGGACCAAGCCCAGTGGTCTGGGAAGAGGGAGGTAGAAAGGGATGGGTCTGACTTGGGGACTCCCTCCTCCTGACCCAACCCCTAGAGACCCAACCCCTAGAGAAGCGACCAAATCCCAGAGATGGGAGGGAGCTGGGGTGAGGAGGGTCTGCTTTTTGAATTACTTGAAGGTACTGATTCTGAGGCTGCTGTTGCCCACAGAGGTGTGAGGGGGACATTGTCACTGCATTTGGGAGGGCAGAGGGTGGCGGGTGACGAGAGCATCTGCCCTCGGCCCTTGCTCACTCCTGCCAGACCCTTTCCCTGGGGGGGTCTGCAAGCCTGACTGCCCCAGGGAAGGTGGGGAGAGCCTTCCCTCCCATCTCCATCCTCACTCTGGGCACCCTCTCCAATTGCACTAAAGTAGCTGTTGTGCCAGTCTTACCCCACGCCAGGGTGGGGTCTCTGCTTCCAGTCTTTCCCCACTGCCTCCGCTCCCGTCCCGGACAATCTCCTTGTTCCGCTTATATTCCTGGATAGCTCAGCTTTGTGTGTGTGTGTTTGGGGGGTGGGGGTGGGTTCTGGCTGGAGTGGGTTTGGCAGGGGCTTGGGAAGGGCTAGGGGAGAGGTGGAGGATGAAGTCTCCTACTCCCTTCCTCAACTCCAAGCCAGGGAGGGAGGGTGCCTACTCTCGCTGCCATGTGTCTTGCAGATGTGCCAAAATGGGGAGGGTGGGCGGGGAGGGTGCCTGGCAGAGCAGCCCCCAGGGTGGCTCTCTCAAAGCAATACAGTTCCCCTGCCTGGGGACGGCAAGACAGGGGAGAGGGTTGGGGTGGGGACCTGGGGGTTCCCCGTGTACAGCTGTGTATATTCAGGGGTGTTCTCTGTCTGGTACCCGCTGTGGGCATCCATGTGTGTGTGAACCTCCCCTTCCCCATGCCCTGCATGACCTGTGATGCTGCAGACACCACCACCCTGTGTGCAGGTGTGTCGGGGGCACGGAGGGGCATGTTTCATGTCCTGTTGCACCCTCCTCCCTGTGACCCATGTACTCGGTTGTAGGAAGTAAAGAGAACTGAGCACAATTCACTGGATTCTAGTTGAATCTTTCTCTAAGCAATTTCCCCATCCCTACCCTTCCCCTACCCTGGATCCACCTGTGGTGCTAGTGTTGGGGTTGGGGGTGTTTAATGCTGGTGGGCAGCAATAAAGGGCAGATCTGCCCAGATGCCTGCATCCCCAGGGTGCTGAGGGCAATAGGAAAAAGTGGGGACCTCGGTGCATTTGCCCCACCCCTCCTCTCCCTGGGCTAAAGCACAATGCTCTCCCTGAAGATTGATGCACCCTGCCCTCCCCAGGCCCCTACTCATGTCCTCCCCAACCTGCTTTGAGCCCTCCCACCACACCCTGGTTTTCTATGCTGTTTTGGTGCAAGTACAACTGTCGTAGTCATGGCTTTGGGATGGGTTCTGTTTATTAAAATCCTATTGCTCCTACTGGCCCTGTGTCCCGCCTCCATTCCTGTGGTTGGGGGGAAGGAAGAGCACTCTGGACCCCTTGCCCTGGCCCCCATCAGCCATCAGAGACCAGGGGCAACAGCTGTTCCTCCAGCAGGGCTATGGTAAGCATGAGGCTGCCCCCCAGCAGGAGCCCCAGCCCCTGCAGTAGCACATGGAGCATAGGTAGGGGCTCAGGAGGACGAAGCAGGGCTGGTAGCTGAAAGAAAAGAAGAGCATTAAGATCTGGCCTTGAGGGCTGGGATGTAGCTCAGTGGCACCACGCCTGCCTTGTAAGCGCAGGGTCCTGGTTCAGTCCCCAGTACAGGGAGGGAGGAGGGTTTCTGGCCTCGGCTGTGACCTCAACCTGAGGAGGTGCCAGAATCAGCCCCCACCCAAACACTTTGGTTCCTTGTCCGGTTGGTGGGCCTAAGGGCCAGCACCCTCCGGGACCTGGCAGTGGATGTGGAGGGACGGATACTTCCTTCCCCTCCAGACCCCGGTCCCCACTTCCTTTGATTTCCCTGCTCTTTCCCACACCTCTCACCATGTCCACGAGGGCCACATAGAGGAAGATCCCAGCAGTGACCCCAAACACCCAGGGAGTGAGGGGGACAGGGCCCAAGCTGAGCCCCACCCCCAGGCCTGCACCCCCTAGTCCCAAAGCTCCAGATATGAGGCTCAGCAGCAGCAGCCTCCGAAAGGACAGGCCTGCCTGGAGTAGCATTGCGAAGTCACCTGTTGAGGACAGAGGATGGGAAGAGGAGGGAAGAAGCCAGGAATGCCCTTCACCTGTGTCACCCACCAGCCTCCAAAGTTGTACCCCTTGAAGATCTTCCTAGAGGCCACCCACCCACTTGTGCCATTCCTACCTAATTCATGGGGCAGCTCATGGCAGAAGACTGCCAGAGTGGTGCTGAGGCCACTAGAGAAGCCATCGGAGAAGGCAGCACCTGCAGTCAGTGGGTGGGAGGTTCATTCCAGAAAGGTCCTTAGAGGCCGGTGCCTGTGTCTGCTCATCTCCCACCTTCCTGCAGCCCTCTCACCCCCAGCCGAGAATGAAGGCCCTGGCCTCCCAGGGCCAGCCTCCCTGACTCCTCCCTTCACACCTATGGCCAGCCCATCGGTGAGGTTGTGCAGACCATCTCCTAGGAGGACCATCCATGTGATGTTGGCACCACCACCACCCTGGTGCCCATGACTGTGGCCTTGGTGCCCATGAGGGGCTGATGTTGGTGGGGACTGGCTGTTCTGTTCCCTCTGGCCCTGAGCCCCTGGCTCTGCAGGAAGAACAAGGACAAATATTGGGAGCTGCAGGTGAGGACTGTGGACCAGGAGCCTAATCCTCATTTTCTCCTCTAGTCACCTGGAGCTGCCTGCAGGGGCCAAAGAGCCATTCCAGTGCTGTCTTCAGGGTCTGGGTTTGGTGTTCCAAGATCCCTTCTCTTTCGTCTGCAGCATCTCTGAAATAGCAGGGTATTCCCTCCTGGTGGGGGAGGCAGCAGAGCCAAGGGCTGAGGGGAAGCCAGGCCACCAGCTGGGAAAATGAACACCTGGTCCCACCTCTGGCACCATGGATGTCCTTTGGCCTCCCTCCTCTTCCCAGGTTGGCACCTCTGTCTCTTGTTGACTTGAGCTTGGGAGAGGAACCAGAAGTCCTGGACTATGCTAAGGTGCCCCTACCCACTGTTAGAGGACAGGTCCTATACCAAACATCAGGCAAACATCCAAGATGCAGGAGCGCATGCTGCTCCGCACCTCCTGGCTTGTTTAGCCAGTTCTTGGCTAGGACTCTAGTCTCAGCAAGTGGAGGAGAAAAGGGTGTCACTCACTGGCCTGAGCCCTCTTTGCCGCAAAACCCCCAGCATGTTCTCCAGCATGAAGAGCAGGAAGAGGCCTCCAAGTACCGACAGCTCTGGACCCAGATCCTCCTCTAGTCGCCCGCTAGGTCCTGCGTGCTGTCTTCCTTGTGCCTGATAGAGAAGAGGTCAGGGCAGACCCTGGAAGCCCCTATACCTAGCGGCACCCCCTTCCCAGCTGAGAGGCAGCTCTGAGCTAAAGCCAGAGGTAGAGGAGTGGGAGGTGGAGGCTGGCAGACGTGGGTGGGGGGCTGTGACTAGGAGCATGGCCAGATCTAGGGAGGCCAGCTGCCAGGCGCCCCCTGGGTGAGGGGTTCAAGGAAGGGGCTTTACTTACATGTGGCAGCAGGTGGAGCAGCGCATCCCCACAAAGGGTGCCCACAGCCAGGGCCCCCAGCAAGCCCAGCAGGGGCGGCAGTAGACGAGGTTCCAGGAGCCGCAGCAGCAGCAGGGAGAGGGGAGCAGGGAGGCTGAGCAACAGGACTGCCAGGGCACTATGAAGCAGGGCTGGGGAGAATTGGGGCTGAAGTTAGGCCAGTGTTGGACCCAGAGGTGGGGCAGAGATATGTTGCAAGGGAGGCAGGGCCCAGTGAATCCCTTTGCTTGGCATGGTCCCCACTCCCTAGCAGGACTCAGGGTGCTCTGACCCCACTCTCTTCCACTGACCAGGTAGTAGGTCTCCTGGAGGGGCAGGGGCTGGGACTTGAGTGCAGACACGGCTGTCAATCTGGTAAAGCAGGGCAGGGCACAGCAGAGCAAACTGTCGCGGGGTCAGAGGAGTGGCAGGGCTCAGGCCAAAATTGACCAGCAGCTGGGAGCCATTTAGACACTGGGGAGTTGAGCAGAGGGTCACACATTAGGAAATCACTAGAAACTATGATGCAGATCTTTCCACCTGTCCTTCCATTGTATGGATTCCTGGGTTTCTCCCAGGGTCCTCTTTTCTCATACTGGTAGGTGTGTCAGGGACTGGAGACAGGGTACTTACAATCACTGTGCCTTAATTACAGTGAATGTTCAATCCAATGGAAAGATCTAACTCAGTGGAAATTGGGTTCCAGTGAACATTGCCATCCATCTCCCTCCCAAGCCCTAGTAATCTTGTTGGTTTGGTGAAGGAATTGATTGAAAAACTAGAGCCCTCTATGCCAGAATTCTGGAAGGGGAAAGAAATGCCTGAAATGCCATCTAACCTCCTTACAGTTCTGTCAGATGTTCATCCAGCCTTGGGAGCTTTGTTTTGTTCTCTCTCTCTCTCTGTGTCTCTCCCCCGCCTCCCTCCTACCTCCCTCCCTTTCAGTTTTTTGGGGGAGGGGTTGTTTTGTTTTTAAGATACAGTCTATCAGTTACCCAGACTGGCCCCTAATTCAGATCTCCCTTCAGCCTCCTGAGTGGTTGGGACCACAGGTGCACACATGGCACTGGGCACCAGCCTCAGGTTGAGTGCTTCAGCAGTGGGGCACTCACTGGGCTTGTTCGGGACTAGGTAGTGTTGCCCATCCTCTTGTGTACACGGAAAAGTGGCACAAGTGCACTTACCTTCTAGATAAATCAGTCATTTACACCTTGCAGGTCTCCTCTCCAGGTAACCATGCCCAGATCCTACCCTGGCCTGCTTCTCTAGATTCTCTGCTTTGTCAAATGTGGCCCCTAACCTGGGCTCACCTGCTCTGAACCCAGAGGGAACATCTTCCACTATTGAAAAACATACCCTAAAGTTACATTGGGATTTTTTTTTTTTTTTTTGAGACATGGTCTTGCTGAGTCACTCAGTTATCCAGGCTTATCTTTTTCTACGGGGGGTGGTGATATTGTTTTGTTTTTTGAGATAGGGTCTCACTGTGTGGTTCAGTCTGTCTTGAACTCACTATGTAGCCCAGGCAGGCCTTGAATTTGTGGCAATTCTCCTGCCTCAGCCTCCCAAGTATTAGAATAATAGGCGTGGGCCTGCAATGGGATTTTAAGTCACTATGACTCTTTAAACATTTCAGACTCACATCCTCATTCAGGTGGTCAGCCAACGAATGGTCCAGCAGCAGAAACCTGTGAAAGAGGTCTAGGCCCGAGGGGGCTGGCCCCTGAGGTAGGTGGGGGGACTTTGAGTCCTCCAGGTCACCCCACCCAGAAGAACCCAGAGGCATCCCTGCCCAGACATCCACACTCAGTTCAGGGTCCTGCAGCCTGAAAGGGAGGGGATAACAAGTCAGTCACTCATGCCCTCACTTGCCCACCTTGAGAAGTTAGTTCCCTAGGAGCTGAGAAGGCAAGAGGACCAGCCACTGGCTAGAGTTCCTGGGACCCAGAAACCGAAGCATGTCACTCCTAGAAGATCTGAGAACTGTTAGTTTATAGGAAGGCCTGGGAATGGGGGCTGTGCAGTGAGGGGATAGGCCAGAAATGCTCCAGATGGGGAGCTAAGTCAGCCTGGAGACTTTGGACACTGGGACTAAGAGTAAGGAATTTAAAGGCCTAGGGATTTGGAGGAGGAGAGACTTAGAAGACAACAGAGACAGGAAGGTTACTGAGGAGTTGGTTCTGAAGAATCTATAATTCAGGAATCTTGTTTAAAGAAGCCAGCAGTTGGGCCAGGGATTTAGCTCAGTGGTTCCGCTGCCTGCTTTGCAAGTGAAAGATCCCAGTACCAAAAAAAAAGCCAGCGGGAAGCATCTGATCTAAGTACTGAGCAGAGCTGGGGGGACGTGGCATTTGCAGGGAGGGCAGGGCTTAGTACCTGTGTGTGAGGTTGTCTCCAGATAGGGGTGTAACATGACCAGTTGGAGGCCCATGGTGTCCCAGGCGAATCCCCTGAACTCGGCCCAGCCCCAGGCTGTGGAGAAGCCGGGCCAGGCCCCTTGCAGTCAGCGTCCCATTCTCTCCGTACAGGCCAAACAGCTGAGCCAGGTAATGGTTCTGCTCCTGCTCAGCAGGGCCTAGGTTGGGGACTGAGCCCCCTACCCAGCCCAAGACCACCCCCACATACAGGGCAGCCAGCAGATGCCACACCGGGGCCCCCATCACTGGGGACAATAGGTTAGAGGCTTTGGTTCTGGCTTTTATTCCTCCAGGAACATCTTGAGGACTGGGCCCTGGAAGAACAAGGAGTTGTGGATCAGGGCTGCTGTTCTGCTCTCCAGCCCAGGATCATGGGACCTTCACTCCTTACACCTGTTCCCTCCTGAGTCCAGCAGCAGCCCCGGCTTGGGCCTCCTGCCTCCAGCCCATTGCTGCCTCTTGTTCACCAGTCCTTGAGCACCTTCTTGACCCACAGCCTAATCAAGCTGACCATCCATCCCTGGTCCCCTAGACTCCACCCCTCAACCTTGCCCCACCGTCTCTATCCCCCCTCATTTCCCAGATCTTGCCCTTACTGGCAACTTGAGAGTTGTAACCTCAGGTCCCCAGCAGGCCTTGCTGTGGACATTAAAAAGTTCCTGAGTCAGGGAGGGGGAACCAAGCTAAGCTTCCAGGTGCAATGGAGGCCACATCAGAGGGCTGAGTGAACAGGCTCCCCTCCCAGACCTCCTGCTTGAGGCGGGGCCAGTGTGGGAAGGTTCACAGGGGAGAGGAGTTAATGGTTCACTGGTCTCTAGGGGAGGGCTCAAAGGTCTGTGTACGCTGGGTCCCCAAGTGTGGAGAGGTCAGCTTCTTTCTGCCTTGAGAAAAGACATATGGCTAAGAACCTGTGCCCAGTTTTTTCCTCTTAAAAGAAATTTTTTTTTGGTACCAGGGATTGAACTCAGGACCTTGCACTTGTAAGGCAGGCATGGTACCACTGAGCTAAATCCCCAGCCCTCCTCTTAAATAATTTATTTCTAGCCCACTGGGTGTGGTGGCAGACACCTGTAATCCCAGCACTTGGGAGGTTGAGGCAGGAGGATCACTGTGAGTTCCATGCCAGCCTGGGCTACATAGTGAATTCAAGAACAACCCAAACTACATAGCGAGACCCTGTCTCAAAAAAAAAAAAAAGAAAAAAAAAATTATCTCTAGCCCTAATCCAGTTAGTGCCACATGAACATTTTCCTGTATATACTCCCACCCTACATACTTTACCTTTGGCATTGAGCTTCCTGTCTCCAACCCCATCCCCATGCTCCCTGGGAAAGTTGGACCCAGGTGTCCCTCAGCTGGGGTTTGGGGGAGAGGCAGACAAGTGGTAACCCAATCGGTATGCACGAGGAAGAAACTAGTTTTAGCAATTCTTCACCCAGGAAGCAAAAGAGCCTCGTGGGAATGATGACCAAGAAAGGGGAAGCCCTGCTGGAGAAGGGAAGCAACTACTGGCCCCCTCTCTGATGGCTGATCTGGTTTAGGGTTAGTGGAACAAAGTCTGATTGGGGCAATTGGTCCAGGGGATCGAGGCTGGCATTACCTGACAGCAGGAGACAGAAAGGACGTCCAGAGGAAAGGGGACCCAGCCTTCTTGTGGCAGCCAGGGGGGCAAGGGTCACCTGCAGGGAGGGAGTATGGGAGGGGAACTCCCTTAAAGGGGCAGATCTGCTTTGCCTAGGCCTCCTTGCCTGTAACCTACCTATCTCCTAGGGTGTCACTTCCTAGGGACATCACATTTCCCTAAATGCCTGACTGCTAATCTCTTCCATTTTCCATAAAAAGCAAGAGTCCAGTACAGAGTGGTAATATTTATTAGGAGGGATTTCAATTAGACTCTCATATCACACACACAAGAGACTGTAACTGTGTTTCTAAAGAGGAAGAAGAGCTGCCAGAGGGCCCTGAATCCTAGGGCACAGGCAGCTTCAGCTGGACAAGTGAAGTATGGGCTTGGGGTGGATAAGGCCACTGCTCACCACCCCTCCAGGGAAGTTTAGTGACTAAAATACTGTTACCCCACCCCCAATCCCAAAGCCAGCAGCCCCAGGGAAGACTGTCTGATTCTCCAGCAGACACCTGGGTTGTGGTTGGTGGCAGGAGGGGAGGAAGAGTGTCTTGCTATCTCTTGCTGCTCCTGCGCGTTTCTTTGCCGTTACTGACAGGGTTGCTGGAGGAGCCAGGAGGGGCAGCTGGTGTGTGGTTGGGCTGGCTTCGAGTAATCCGGGTGCTGGGGGGGTGGGTGGGAGCGTGAGGAGGATGTGGGCCACCACCAGGACCTTGTGGGGCACTCAGTCCATTTCCGTTCTGGTTCTCAGAAGCTACCAGTAGAAGAAACACAGAATTAGACAGTTCAGGAATGACAAGGTACCCCTCAAAGGCCCATTTCCATGCCCTAAAGAGTGGCACCATCTTTGCCATGTACAACTGCACATTGTTGGCAACTGGACCAACTACAGTACAAAAGAATGTGGGTTGCGAGTATAAATGGGGCCTCAGAGAAGACTTGATCATTTTGGAAATGGCTACATGAACCCTGGTAAGAAATTTTTCTCTTATTCATCTCTGTATCACTGAGAGACCTAGAGTTAGCTGTTTAGTTCAAAACTCAAGGACCTCTGACAAAACACCCCCTGACCAAAGTGATTGTAAAACTGGAGAATCATGGGAAAGGGAAGAGTTTTAAGTTTCTACGTTAAAAGGTAAAAGAAGGGGGGATGGGGATGTTGTTCAGCGAAAGAGTGTGTGCCTAGCTTATGCGAAGCTCTGACTTCAATCTCCAGCACTGTAAAAAAAAGAAATAAAAAAGTAGGACCTTAAAAATTTTTTTTAAATGATGTGTATGTATTACAACAATATATGCTCATTTTAGAAAATATAAATAATCAAAATCTTTCTTTTTTTTTTTTGGTACCGGGGATCGAACTCGGGACCTTGCGCTTGCGAGGCAGGCACCAGAACCACTGAGCTAAATCCCCAGCCCCGCAAAATCTTATTACACTTGGTACCCCCAAAAGATAATACGTCACAATTAATTAATTAATTACGGTCCCAGGGACTGAGGCATAGTGATACCATAGCCTCACGCATGCTGGGTAAGCACAGACACAGCCCCAGTTATACGTATTCTAAGGGCTGGATTGGAAGCAGCTGTGTGAGGTGACTTCTCTTGAGCTCCCGTAACTGTGCACAGCCCATCACTGTACCCAACACAGCATATTATAATCATTGTCTGTACATCTGTCTCTTGCATAGACTATAAGCCCCTAATGGCTGGTGCTGTGCTTTATTCTTGGCACCTAGTAGGTGCTTCATAAATGCTTGTTAAAGGAAGGCAGAGCCCTGCCTCTCACAAACATAGGGAAACACAAACTAAAGGGTGTAGTTTGTGGATTAGTGCTAACCTTATCCTTGCTAGATCTGGCTGCTTGACCAGATTAAGATATCTGTAGCCTGAACTGAAGAATAATGTCTTTTTGTTTCGGTTTGTTTTTTGTTTTGTTTTGTTTTTGTTTTTGTTTTTTGTACTGGGGATCGAACTCAGGACCTTGCATTTTTGAGGCAGGCGCAGGTACCACTGAGCTAAATCCCTAACCCTTGTTTTTGTTTTTTGAGGCAGGGTCTCTTTTTGTAGTTCAGGCTGTCTTTTTTTTTTTTTTTTTTAATTCACAGAAAATGCTGAATGTGCAGAAGTGAATGTTAAGTTTTTATGCCATCCATATTTTTTATTAAACTTTTTCTAGCTGGGCATGCTGGCACAGGCCTGTAATCTCAGCACTCAGGAAGCTGAGGCAGGAGGATCACAGCAAATTCAAGGCCAGCCTGGGCTACATAGTGAGATCCTGTCTCAAAAAAACCAAAACAGCCCAGGGATTTAGCTCAGTGGCACTGCACCTGCCTTGCAAGCGCAAAGGACCTGAGTTCCATCCCTGGTACAAAAAAAAACTCACTAAAAAAAAAAGGTGGAATATCAAAAAAACCAAAACAAAGCAAAACAAAAACAAAACATGGCTGGGGATTTAGCTCAGTGGTTCTGCCACCTGCCTTGCAAGCACAAGGTCCTGAGTTTGATCCCCAGTACGAAAAAAAATTTTTTTTTTTCTGTTAGCAGATGACAAAGTGAATAAATAGGTGGTAAATGAATTTTAGGGACAGAGTTTTAGATTTATGTCATTAAAAATACTTTTGTCGGGCCAGGGATTTAGCTCAGTGGTTCCGCTGCCTGCCTCGAAAGCGGAAGGACCCGAGTTCAATCCCTGGTACTAAAAAAAAAAAGTAACAAAAATACTTTTGTTGAGGCAGGACAATTTTAAGTTTGAACCTACCCTGGACAACTTAGTGACTTAGTGAGACCCAGTCTCAAAATAAAGAAGGGCTGGAGATATAGCTCAGTGTGAAAGGCCTGGTTCAGTCTCTAGTATCCTGCCCCCCTGCCAAATTGTAAATGATGGTGTCATGGACACCTGAAAATATATGACAGTTATATTTCTTTTGTTTTTCTCTTTTCCTTTTTTTGGTGCTGGGGACTAAACCCAGGGACTTACCACTGAGCTACAACCCCTAGTCTCAAGAGTCATATTTTCTATTGGAAACACAGACACTAATTTTTGTGGTGGAATGAAATGTTGTAAGTTCATAGTTATATTATCAGGGTTCTCTACAGAATCAGAAACAATAGGAGGTACATACAGTCATACATCATGTAACATTTCAGTCAGCAAATGGACCACACACACGATGGTGGTTCTATAATGTTATAATGAAGCTGAAGAATTCCCACTTAGTGACACTGTATCCATGGTAATGTAGCACAATGCATCACTAATGTGTTTGTTGTGATGCCAGTGTAAGTGAGCTGCCAGTGGTATAAAAGTATGGCACATAATTAATTGTGTACAGTACATAATACTTGATAATAATAAGTGACTGTTACTGGCTTATGTATTTATTATACTATGCTTTTCATTGTTATTTCAGAGTGTACTCTTTCTACTTATAAGAGAAAAAAGTTAACCATAAAACAGGCCGAGGCAGGTCGTTCAGGAGATATTCCAGAGAGGATACTGTTAATGAGATAATGTCACCCTGTGCGTTATTGCCTTCCAGTGGGATGAGATGTGGAGATGGAAGACTGTGATGCTGATGATACTGACCCCAAAGAGGCCTAGGCTAATGTGTGTGTGTGAGTGTGTGTGTGTGTGTGTCTGTGTGTGTCTTAGGTTTTATTTTTTCTTTTTTACTTTTGTACTAGGGAATGAACCCAAGGCCTTTACACTGACCTACATTCCTAGCCCTTTTTTATATCTGATTTTGAGGTAGAATCTTGCTGAGTTATCCAGGCTGGCCTCAAACTTGTGATCCTGTTACCTCAGCCTTCCACAGTGTTGGGATTACAGGCTTTGGCTGTACCTTGGTCAGCACCTTGTAGGTGCAGCACCACTGAGCTAAATCCCCGGCCCAGAAATTATTCTCTCTTTTTTTTTTCCACTGAGGATCGAACTCCAGACCTTGCGCTTTCAAGGCAGGCGCTGGAACCACTGAGCTAAATCCCCTGCCTAGTTCTCTTTTTTGATGTGAGCAGTAGTAACAAAAGGGTAGTGGAGCTCTGTCAATGATTGAAACAAGTTTCCAGATCTTTTCACCACACCAGACATGGTGGTGCACGTCTGCCAATACCCCCAACTTGGGAGGCTGAGGCAGAAGAATCACAAGTTCAAGGCCTGCCTGAACTATACAGTGAGACCCTGTCTCAAAAACTAAAACAAATCCCAAAACAACAAAAAAAATCTTTCACCACAGAACTTACAAAAGGTATAAAACATGAGGTTACAGAAAGAAGAACTGGATAGAGGGGAATATACTGAGAAAAGAGAGGCTTGGAAAAAAGATGAGGGAAATGCATCTTTCCAAGCTGGGGACAGTAGAGAAACTAAAGGGACCAAGGAATGGAAGGGAACAGATTTACCTGGAGAGACTGAAGGGGATCCCGTGGCAGCCTGGGTGGCTGGAGGACTGCTGTCGTTCTGCACCTGAAGGCACAGGTCCATACTTAGACCCTGCTCACCACCATGCTCCTTGACTTGATCTGCCCTCCTTCCCCACCATCAGACCAGTAAACTCACAGCTTTGTTGGGTGCCTGCTGGGTGCTGTACTCTGGATTGGGCTCACTGAAGTTAGGAACCTCAGAATAAACCATACAGAATCTGCAAAGGGAGAAAATAGCCAAAGCCTTGGACTCATCCTCTAGGCCACTGCTGAAGGTCTCAGGAAAATCCAGATGCAGGAAGTCCTTATGTTTCCTCCTTGCAAGTCTTAACTTCCCCCGGAGGTGCCTACTGCTTCATCCCAATCCTCAAGACAGCACTTACTCTCCAATCTTCTGCAGATCACCCCCGCGGCCAGTGTACAGTGTCAGGCAACCTTTGAACACTGAAGCATATCTGTGGGTCAAGAAAGCAAGATTCCAAGTCCTCAGGAAAGTTATAGGGACTGCTAATCCCACCCCTCGTGACACTGCTACCCTTGGTTTTCAGGAATCACCAGCTGCCTGACCCTTTGGTGAGTCGGATAATATCCCCAGGTTGGATCAGGTTGCCCACATCGTCCCAGACAGAGATATTGATGCTGCCCGTTTTGTCAGCCACTTTGCAGGTCCGAACCTCGTGCCCGTCCTTTGTCTTGGTCACTCGGCCTAGAGTGAATAAGTGGGGTGCGAAGATGGTCAGAAAAACGGGGTAGTGGCAGCCAGAAGGATGAGATCTGGGTATTGGTGGGTGAGGTGAAAGCTGTATGTCCAACCTGTGGGGCAGGAGAGGCTGGAGGTGCGTGGTGCGTGTGTGTGCACGTGTGTGCTGGCAGTGGAGGGGCCAGCACCATGGAGAGGGCCTTGAGTGGAAAGAGGCCCGCGTGGCACTGGAGGCACCGGTCTGGCCAGAGTTCTATCTATGCACTACCCGACTGCCAGGGCCAGTGCCTGGGTCTAAGAGGGATGGGGAGTAGGCAGTGTCTTGGGGCACAACCTGCCATCCTTGGAGCAAGTTAAGAATGGAGAAGGTTGGGCCAGGGATTTAGCTCAGTGGTTCCGCCGCCTGCTTCGCAAGCGCAAGGACCCAAGTTTGATCCCCGGTACCAAAAAAAAAAAAAAAAAAA